GGAAAACATTGAGACTGCATTTGTCTTTGATTTTTTTTCAAGCATTAAAAAAAATACATTTATATTGATTTCTATTGTATTAAAATCAAAAAATAGAAAGTTAAAAATCTCACAGAGTAAAAGAAGGATTTTGAAGTTCTCTTATTGTATTAGAAGATCTTTATTATCAGAGCACTTAATTAATTATATCTGAAATTCGAACAAAGAATAAAGGACTTATTTTCCAAGGTTTTCGAGAATCTCTAGAAAAATCATTCTTAGATAAAAGAGAGAAGGAATTTTTCCGTCTATTAAACATAGGTCTGTTGATAAGGGAAACTAAGTAAAAAAACAATGGTACTTCAGCGTGTAACATTTTCTTCAAATTTTTTGACTTCAATTCTTTGCTTAATTGAAATCTTTCCTATTTGTCCAATGCATCAATAAACACAATTTATATATTTTATTGTAAATAAATTGAATTAAGCCTTTTGTTTGTTTTAAAGTCCACCAATATGAAATTAAATTTTTATCGAAAAATAAGATTTCCATTGATGTCTATTTATAAATAATTTTTAATTCATCTACGAAGTAATAATCTTATTACTTTCTATTTGAATGTAAGCTTCGACATTGTCCCTCTGATAAATGTTTTTTATCTAATTTTATGGCTTAACCATATGCTGCATATTTCTTTTTGAAAATTAAAACTGTTTTATTAGGAAATGAATTGATTTCTTTTTCTAGCATTATCAGATTTTTTCTACAAATTCAATTATTTCGACTTACATATAAATAGCGTAATTTTGTACTTGAAGTGAATTTGGCCTACTTTAAGATGCTTCAATAGTACTTTTAGTTACTTTAAACCACTTCAAAATGTCATAATATAAACGTAATCGCACATTCAGGATATTGTAATTATAGATCATTTTGTTCCTGTTAATCACTCGTATGACATAAGAAATTAAATATTCATCAACTTCAGTTAACTAGATACTCAATTGACCAGTCAGACTGTGACTGATGCATACGTTTGAAACAAAACTCAATGTATATAAGAGAAAGATCAATACAGATTATTGTGTTATAGAAATAGTTAAATGATTAATTTGAAAAAAAAACAATATAATAACAACATAGACGATCGTAGAGGAACATTGTATTTCAAATTGAAAAGTATTTTAAATTATTTCTCTATACTTTTCGACTTGAAATACGCCATTTTTTCTTTGATTTCAATCTAGAAATTAAGATTAAACGATAGAATCAGTCTCGTGGATTCTTTTTGTACAGATGAACAGTTAATGTTGATATATCGTTTGACAGAAGTCTTCAAACTTGATTATAAAAATCAATTTTACTATGACGGAGTAGTGGCAATTTTTGTCCCATTTTCATATTGTAATTGTGCGTGCTGTGAATCAATGACGTTTGACGAAGAGATCTATATTTTTGAAAAGCAGAAATTTCTCTAAAACTGTGAAAATGATAAAATAAAAAAGACTAATTGTTTACACAAGTTCAATATCTGCATGATTAATTATTAAAAATATTTTTCTTTTTGTTTCAGGTGAAAGGTATTTATCTTGATCGTGATATTCTATTGGAAGAATTATCATCTGATGTGAAAATGTATACAAATATTGGTGATCTTCTTCCAATATCGATTTATAATCGACGTGATATTATTCAAAATAATAATTCATCAAATGATCATTTACGTTTTCTTTTTTATCAATTATTTATTCATGAATATTGTTTAAAATCCTTTTCATTAAATAAAACAAATCTTGTTGAATTAATTGAAAATTATTATTATTTAAATCGACATGAATTAAATCAAATAAATGAATTTGATAAAGAATATAATTCAACAAAA